GGTGTTATGAGAAGTGTTCCCGGTTCCGGTTGACCTAATTAATGTAGTCTAAAAATCCTTTAATGGATTTGAATATTAGAAGCGTATTAGTGTGTTGTGTGTAAGCCAGGTTAAAGAGATGGGTCTTTAATCTAGATTTAAACTGACAGAGTGTGTCTGCCTCCCGAACAATGTTAGGTAGGTTATTCCAGAGTTTGGGCGCTAAATAGGAAAAGGATCTGCCGCCCGCAGTTGATTTTGATATTCTAGGTATTATCAAATAGAGTTTTGAGAATGCAGCGGACGTGGAGGACTATAATGTAACAAGAGCTCGTTCAAATACTGAGGTGCTAAACCATTCAGGGCTTTATAAGTAATTAGCAAGATTTTAAAATGTATACAATGTTTAATAGGGAGCCAGTGCAGTGTTGACAGAACCGGGCTAATATGGTCATACTTCCTGGTTCTAGTAAGAACTCTAGCATGATAAAAACATCCCAATAATCCACACCACTCCAGTCCATCAGTTAATGTCTTGTAAAGTGAAAAGCTGTGTGTTTGTAAGAAACAAATGTATTAATTAGACTTTTTTCATTTCAAACTGAGCCCTCTATCCGCAATATTGCTTTCTCCAAGCTGTCGTCTGAACCAGGAGAGAAATATGCACATATCAAGCACTGTTTACAAGCCAAAACAGTCCAAAACATTTCTAAACACATATGTGGGTGGATTTTAATGTGAGGGGACAACAGGAGATGGACTTTTTCACTGGAGGAAGCGTTATTATGGATTATGTACTCATATTTTGTCCAGAATCAACAGTTTAAAGTTAAAATGTCTAAAATATGGATTAGTTTCTTACAAACACACAGCTTTTCGCTTCACAAGTTAACTGATGGACTGGAGTGGTGTGGATTGCTTGTGGATTATTGTGATGTTTTTATCAGCTGTTTGGAATCTCATTCTGACGGCACCCATTCACTGCAGAGCATCCATTGCTGAGCAAGTGATGCAACGCTACATTTCTCCAAATCTGTTTCGATGAAGAAACAAACTCATCTACATCTTGGATGGGCTGAGGGTGACTACATTTTCAGCTAATTTCTATCATTGGGTGAACTGTTCCTTTTATACGTTTCATACTATACATTTAACTATGATTTCTTTCAAATGCAACACTGGTTTTGTGAAGGCTGAAAAACGTGCAAGGCATCACCGTACGAAAAAAGAAGAGAAGCACTTTGTGGCAAAGAACACCACTCTCATCATTGAGGAGGAAAACCAGTTTCAGAAATACGCCGAACAGGTCATTGAAACAGCCGGGAAGGCAGGGAGAATCACCTACCCTCTCCTGAAGGCTGCCAGAGAGGGCATCGGAGGGGGTCTGGGGCCCGTGTTCGGTGGACTTAGACCAAGTTATCTAGTCCATGATGAGTCGGGTGTTGAGATGCCCAATTATGTGAGCGGCACCACTCAAAACATAAAAGAGCTGAACGTGACCCCTGACATTCAACAGTCCAAGAAAAGACTAGGATTTACCTGGTAACACTTCACAACATCTAATTGTTATTATGACTCTCTTTTACTATTGCAATAATAAAGATGTTATGCAAAAGAAATTGTAATTGCTGCATTTGATTAAAATATTGCTTTTTAACCCCAAAAAGGTTTCCCAAAATATTCTTTTTACACACAATTTGGATGTTTATGTTTCTAAATATTCTGATGTGTGGGAAAACTTGGTTATAAATAACAGTATTATTCCTAGAAACTTGAGTAATAGTTAAAACAGACAGTCAAATTTTGCTTTGGGATGTCTGTATAAAAATATATAAAAAATAAATGACATCTAATAGGCGAATTATTTTACTATTACCTGAAAAGTGTTAAATTAAAACTAATTTATATTTGAGCTTTCTTTTTCATTTTTTCTCATTATACAAGAAAGGCACAAAGATAGGCAATTATTTATACAATAAAACAAAGATTATTAATACTAATATGACAGCAGCATTGTTATCAGCTGTATACAATCAATACTTTCTAAATGTTTTGTATTTTCCCCCTTTTATAGGGCAACAATGCACATGTAATTCCATCATTGATTTCCATTACATGTATTATATATTATTAAATATATTATTTGTAATGATACATTTTTATTATTTATATCTAATATATATTTATGTAATACCTGCAAGTTTTTCAGGATTGATTGTTTCCTCTTCATTCATATT